ATGTCAGCTGATGCTCGAGTCAAGATGTCAGCAACTGACAACCGCCGAGCAGACTGATCATGAATGCAAGCCAAAGGCTTAAATGTAAACATTTTCGACGGACATCCGTCTGGTTAGGAATGATTTATAAATCTTCAACTTAGAAACTCTAACCAAGCTTTATTAAAAAGCAAAAATCCCGACGTTTCGGAACCAACTCGGTCCCTTGATCACGGGTGACTGTTTTTGTCCCGCGGAACGGCCTGCCCACGAACCCGAACACCCCCGGGTGTTTTCCGGATTATCCCTCTTAACCCCGAAACGTAGCTGCTGGGAAGGGTCCCCGTCGACCGGTTTATGTTGCCACGTGTCATGGCCTCCGAGATCCCGAAGCGCGCGAACGCTTCTCCGGCCGTCCCATTCGTACGGAGAAGGCGTAATTGAAAAAAAGAGAAGGAGGCGGCGTGTCTCCGCGGGGAGGCGCTCCCAACCCAGTCATCGACAGCATGGCGCGAGGCTGAAGAGTTCAAGAAAAAGTCTTGTTACGTCGAGTTACTGCAACTTATAATTAAAAATGTTTGTGTATTGTGGTAGAACGATGAATAGCTGCTCCGGGGACGTAGATAAAAAATTTGTGATGCTTATTTAATTATTTAATTTGAGATATTCATCTGGACATGTTGCGGCTAGCGCTACAAGCGCGCTTTTTGATATATTTGATTGCAATCTGTAGCACGTATAAAACTAAAAGAAGAAAAGCTCCGTATATAAAAAAATTAATACTTCCCTTAATAAAGATATTCATGCTGCAATATATATTTTTTTTACCTTCGCACGTTGTTTGGCCTAGCTTTTGGAGCCTCACGAGGTTTGATACTATATATGAAGTCCGTGTTGTCCTTGTTTTAACATTTTTAATATAATGCAATTTTTGCGGGTCATATTGCGGTGTTTGCTTCTACTAGAAGTACCTTTAAGCCGAGGTCACACTGCTTATACCATTATACAAAAGACAGTCTGCAGATATCAGTCACCACGATATCCGTGGTTCAAACACTGCGTGCCAACTCTCTAATTTAACTGCCATGCGGCATTCGAAGCTCAGATCTCGTGGTGACTCGAGTGTGAATCTGTTCGCAGACTGTCTTTTGTATGATGTACAAGCAGCGTGACCCCGGGTTTGGGGAAAAACCTTTGGTGGTGAGGTTCAACCACCTCGCAATGATTTCGCCATTTTTTTTTTTTTTTTTATAAATCTCGTGATAATTGTAGGTACTCATTGAAAAGGTGGGGCGTTATCTTGTAAACATCTAGTTTTGGGCGCATGTAGCACAGACCACCGTATCCCGTAATAATGCACTTTGTGATATAACTTAATTGATATGCAAACAAACAATGGCATCTTAGGAAAAAGAACTCTGGTTTATCCGCTATCCATTTCCGACAGCCGGCGCAGCCCGACCCGAAGCTAACTTTCACGGGCACGCTGCGCTTTATTTTAGCCCAGTATGAATAGCTCACAAATTGCGCGGCATGGCAGCTCGCTTGCAACTGCTACACATAGGTTGATTACGATGCTTGCAGTAGATACTGTAAGCATTTTATTTTTGCTGATATTATTATTCGACCAATCTTCCTGTTCTGCGACCAAACACGCGCGGAAAGAACGGAAAAAACAAAAATGACAAGTAGAAGTAAACAAAACCACGTGTCACAGTTGGAAAGGAAGGGACACATCGTGACGGGTTTGGACAAAAGACGGGCAAAGTTCTAAATTAGCCACTTTCGCTGCGCACAACCGGAAAAAAAAAAAAAAAAAAAAAAAAAACAGCAATGTTGTCGTTGCTTGCGGTGGTCTGCTAGAAATTGTTCAGGAAAAGTACCCCTCCGGGAAACCTCTTCACCCCTATTGGGGATGCAAGCACTCGTGCGTACAGATGGTTTACGCTGGCGAGGGTGCACACGTTGTTTAGGCGCGTGTATGTGCGTGTTTGTGATGAGAAGCGTTTGTATGATGGCGGCGCCACCGGGGACAAAAAGAAACGCCGTGCCGCTAGTCCTCTGGAAGAGCATTCGCTGCACACACCGAACCATACAAAATCATATACCCACACACACATGCTTCAGCACCTGTTTATCCCCCACTGTGGTTCCTCTCCCAACCTCCGAACATAATTCCAAAGAACAAGCCGTTAAAAAAAAAAAAAAGAAGAAGAAGAAAGTAATGGTCAGTTTGGCTTGCTTTGGTGGCCCCCCTTGTAGATGTGAATACAAGGCCCGTACCCGGCCCAGTCCCTAAAGGTTGCAATCAAATATACCAAAAAGCGAGCTTGTAGCGCTAGCCGCAACATGTCCAGATGAATATCTCAAATTAAATACAGTAATTAAATAAGCAGAACAAATTTTCTATCTGCGTCCCCAGAGCAGCTGTTCACCGTTCTACCACAATACACAAAAATTTGTCAGTATAAGTTGCAGTAACTCGACGTAACAAGACTTTGGCTTGAACTCTTCAGCCTCGCGCCATAGGCCTCCTGCGCTGAAGCTTTGAACGTATCGTGGCGCCCTCCGGTGGCGGGCGATAAAACGTCTGAGTAGTACAAGTCCCGCGGCGCCACCTGCCCCACGCGATAACAAACCTGCTCGGGCGGCTGTTTACTTCAACACGCAGCCGCTGTTATTTGTCCAAGCATGTCGAAACCGGCAGCAAGCAGCGCGAAACGTCGCCATCGACGGTACTGTTGCGTTGTGAATTGTCACGAACAGGAAGGGCTCAACCCCGGCGTGAGCTTCTACAGGTTTCCATCCAAACCGCACGAAGTCGAGCAGAGGGAACGCTGGATACGAGCCGCCCAGCGCACTGAGTAAGCGATACTCGTTTTTCTCGCCCTCCAGACTGTTCTGCTAAGGCACGGCCACTCGTGTTTGCAAATTTCAACAGACCCGATGGCAAGCCTTGGCAGCCGACACAAAACTCGAGGATGTGTAGCCGGCACTTCGTCGGCAACAAGAAGAGCAACTGCGTGGGCCATCCAGCCTACGTACCTACCATTTTTCCCCCGGCGTACAAACGACCGCTCCCACTCGACTCATCAAGTGGCTTGGAACGTTTTGACAGGTGCGGTTTGCTTTTAAGGTAATCTACAGCGTTGGCGAAATAGATTGAACTCACTTTTAACTGACTTCATAAATCGGTTTCTTAACTTATCGCGCTGAGATTTACTACAGAGGTGTCTTAAGTTGGTGGAAGCTTTCGCTAGAATTGTGGCAATATTCGCTCACCTAAGTAAATCAATAAAAATTAAAACAAAAACTTTCCCCTATTATTTGCATGTATACACCAAAAAATATATATACTGCGTTACTGTGGTGCTTATTTGTGCCACATGAAATGAAGAAAAGACAAGCCAACTCTATTTTGTTTCCAATGTCACGAATTTTTCAATCTCGATAAACGCCAGAATGGCCATCAACGATTTTCTGATAATTTCGTGATAAAAGGCTTGGCGATAATTTTTCCATTGACAAAACCAGTTTTTGTATTCTTTGACTCTAGAGGTTTCTTGTATTCATACTCTCAATTAATGAATGCACCAGCTTCAAGCACCTCTGTAGCAAATCCCAGCGCGATAAGTTAAGAAACCGATTTATGCGGTCGGTTTAAAGTGTGTTCAATCCATTTCACCCACGCGGTTGAGTAGTCGTTTTCTAAATGCAGCATTTTTTGTCGCAGAGTGGGAGAACATGCACACGGAGCAACTAGCACACAAGCCATTATTGCTTTCTTTTCTGGTCGAAGTACATCAAACGCTCTGTTGTGTAGCGAAAAGAGCTAATTTGAGGCGTCAATGTAGGTAGCATGACTTCAGACTCTCAATGCACTGTTTGAGTGAAATCCGAGAAAGCGGCAGTGTCGTGTTTACACTAAAAGTCGTGCTGCTCAGTTTTGGGTTCTAAATATTTGCTAACCTTCATTTCTTGTTGCTACGAATAGGTATCAGCATGCCTTAATTCACATGTATGCTATTCTCAGGTGGCGGAAAAGACTTCAGAAAGCACCGGCAGTTCCAGCGCTGCACAGTGAGCCCTCAACATCAGGCACGGCCGCCACAACACCAGTCACGGTCGCCACATCGGGCACGGCCGCCACAACATCAGTCACAGCCGTCGCATCAAGCACAGCCATCACGACATCAAGCACAGCTCCCACAGCCTCAAGCACCGCACCGAGCCCAGTTTCCACCAGCGTGCCCCCGACATCATGTCCTACATGCCAGCCAACATCCAGTGCTGAAAATCGTAATGTAAGTTTGCAAAAAATGAAAAAGTCACAAGCATGGCAAATTTATTGAAGCCTGTTCTCTGCTCATTGATTTAGTTTGGAAACCAGTTGGTGGAAACCAGAGATTCATGCTCCTTTTCTACCTTTTACTTTTTTCACAGATCTCTGGTCCTGCTGATCAGGAAGGAGAGTGGTCCTCGATGGACATTGAAGAGGACCAACTCATCGGTGAGTGCAGCATGGTAAGTAAAGTAATATCACGAGATAGCCGAACAAAGATCGAGAGCAGGAAAAGTAAGAAGTGGGCACACTTTTGGTGCAGAGCAGAAAAAAAGCTAAAAATGTTGTAGGGTCAATGGCACAAAGTTTCTGGTTACGAGCTTGTGAGTTTGTTTATTTGGGATTGAGTTGGCGACCAAAACTATTTGCGACCTTCATGTTTGCCTCTAAACCCCGTGGGCTGTCAAACCTCTTACTGCGTTGTGGGCTGACTGAGCCAAAGACAACCATTTTCTTTGTTCCCCACAGTTCACTTACCTTCCCTCGTAACTTGCCCTGTTTCTGCAGAGGTCTCTGACTCGGGCAGTGCAATTTTTAGGCATTTGAAAATAAAAACCAGGGTGGGGCATTTGACAGTTGAACACCTCTACTACTAAATGGCCTGTTTAACAAAGATGATCTGGCCTCACTCAGGTTGCTGCCTGAACCAGGGCAATGGCTACAATGAAGTGACTGTTAAAATGAAGTGGTTTTATGGTACCAAACATTTAGTTGTACAAGTGTTCGACTGTACAACAGTGGCCAGGTTCTTCTTAATAATATAGCTAAAATTGTGGGCCAGGTTGTCCCATCTGAACAGGAGCAGCTCACAAGATCCCTGGGAGTTGGGCCTCATGCAAGAACCTGCTTCTTTGGTGGCTATGACAGCATAAAGCATAGCCCAGATGCACTGCGAAGCTTGTGCGGTGTTGACGGCAATGTGTTTGCTTTGCTGCTTAGCCTACTGCCAACGGTTCGAGACCGGGGGAGTGACGTTACAGTAGAAAACAAAATGCTGATCTTCCTCACAAAAATGAAACTGGGAATATCGTTTAGCGCTGTTGGAACTCTCTTCGGGGTCCACGAGACCACTGCCTGCCGTACATTTTATGCTGTGCTGTACACCTTGGCAGAGGTCACTAGAGGTTGGATCAGTAAGTCTCCTGTGAGCAACATCAAGCTTGCGCAGCCGCTTTGTTTTCAGGAAAACTATCCGGAGTGCACTCTCATTGTAGATTGCACAGAGATAAAAACGGAGACACCCCCCAACATTAGGCAGCAGCACGTACTGTACTCCTCGTACAAAGGATGCTACACACTGAAATTCCTTGTTGGAATCATCCCCAATGGAATGGTGGTGTTCAGGTCCAAACCGTACGGTGGTCGATGTTCAGACACATACATCACACTAAACTCTGGATTTTTGAATGTGCTCGAAAGCGACGACATGGTTCTTGCAGACAAGGGATTTCCTGGCATTCGCGCTTCTCTTGCCGACAGGGGGGTCATCCTTGTAATGCCACCATTCTCGGCGGGAAGCAACGTTCCATTCACTACCGAGGAAATGGAAGAGACCTACGCAGTTGCTTCGGTGCGCATTCATGTGGAAAGGATGATTCAAAGAATTAAGCTCTACGACATCCTTAACCACCGAGTTCCCATTTCACTGATACCAGCAATGGGAGACATTTTCCACATGTGCTGTGTTTTGGCCAACCTTCAGCCACACATTATCAGCTCGTAGCCTGTGAACTAACTTGAGAACCCTTAGGAACCTTTCATTTTTTTAAATTTTATTTTCATGAACTTCGTTGGTTTTTTGGCAGCACTTTAATTTTTGTGAGGATGCAACATTTGCAGATTGAAGACAATTTGCAAAAGATTGATCTCGCGAAGAAACAGTTCCATGGTGGCAAGTACAAAACATACCATTTTGGATCGCATAAATTTGTGCCCACAAAATATCTCGCAAACAGGCATGTTGAGAAAATCGCGAAATATTGAGGTAGTGAATATGTGCTCATTTATAGTATGATTTTTTTTTTTTTTTATTATTATGGAGCTTAAAGGGGTTTGTAACGATTTCTGGACTTCGGTCAAAAAATTGTGGAAGTTGCCCTCCGACACTTCTGAAGTAAAGACCAGAAAACCGATTTTGCCTGCGTGTCCTAGTTGTGGCGTAAAAAAAAGATAAATATTGGCATTTCGGGCACCCTTCAACTCACTCCCAGTCTCCAGGGTCACACTCCTAGTGACGTCATTCGGAGTGCCGTGTAGGTTACCCTGTGGTATCTCGGAGGACGCTTCCTCTCCCTGTCTCTGCTGACATTAGCGGGCATTAGGCTGCAGGTTAGAGCTGAGCGAGGTCACGTAACCTTCTAGCCGTAGTTCCTTCAGCTGCCACTCCGGGCTGCAGGTGGGGGAAAAAGCTCGGCTTTTGCTTTGCGATTATGCAGCGGAATCGCAACATTTTGAATGAAAGTGATGTTTTCTCTATTCTCCGGGACGCGATAAACAATGTGAAAATGACGAGATGCAAATTTTTTTTAACCATAAAATCGTTGCACGCCCCCTTTTATCTGAGAAGTGTGAGTTATACAAAGGTGCAACTTGCACCAACTTTACATATAGATGGCCATTTATAGGGAATGGAACTTGTTCGATGCCAAGGCCGAAAACCAGCTGTTCTGTGCACCTTGTATCTGGAGAAGTAAATGCGTACTCGTCATAACAGACCACGCCTGCTGTTTTGTACCGTCACTCTTTCAAGTGGCAAGTGCAAAACAAATAGTTTAGCTTTATTATTGGCCACCATGTGGCTCTTGCCTGGGTAGTACTACCTATCCATTGGGCATGATTCCAATACAATTTGACCACCAAAACATATTTCAGCAATATGGCAAACTTCCGTGCCTCAAGTGATAGTGCATAGAGCTAGCTCAAGTCAAAGTCAAATTTGGGGGTTTTACGTGCCAAACCAACAACGGGCATCTGGCACGCCCCAGCGGAGGGCTGAGGATTAATTTGGACCACCTGGGGATCTTTTGACGTGCAACCGAAAGCTCGGTTACATGGCGCCTTCTCCGCAATAAGCTTCCGTCAGATTGCGGGCATAGAGCTAGCTCTCATATGCAGTGGGTCTAGTTGTGCATAATCAAATAGAAACAACTGCCTATCAAATCTCTCTAGCTATCCAAATGTGTGCTTGTACAAGCATTATTCAAATGAACAGAAATAGTTTGTGCACCATGTTTGTGAAAGTTTATACCTTCAGAGACGCTGTCCTTGCACTAGTCGAATGGGAGTATATCAAGGCACCGACTCGGCCCTTGTGCACCACCAAGGTGAGTGAAATTTAAGGTGGGCATTTGTCCAGTGCAGCAAGACCACTGACTCATTGTTTGTAACCTAATGAATGAACTAGTGGAAATGCAGCCTGCTTATATGTGTATGCTTCAAGTGTTGTGCACTTGCATGGCAATTGGGGTTGCATAATGATGCATTGAATGTTACGGAAGAGGCATTTCTGGCTTTCTGTCTGCTTGTGTGCATATGGGCTCGTAATCTTTATAATGCTGCATGACATTGCTGTGTATGGTTTTAGTTATTGACAATTGGGAATGCACAATGATTTTGTGAATGTTGCAATAGAGCTAATTTTAGTTTCCTGTCTGTTATTGTGCTTACGTGCTCACAGTCTCTATAACCCTGCACGAGCTTGCTTTCTGTGTGGTGTTTGTTACACATAAAATCTGATAAATATGTAATTTTTCCATCCAATAAACGTTATAAGATCAAACTTTGTGTGATACTCAATGGCTGTACATGTGTACATTCCTCCAGCAATCAACACTTGGCAAGGTGTCCACGGGCACAAGAATCTCCCCCCAAATATTGTTTTTAGAAACATTGTGTGTTGATTTTATTGGCACTTATAAACACAAGAACTATGGCAGATTTTGCATTAAATATGAGTTCTCAAGAAGTAGCTGTGACCAAGAAAGATTTTGGGTGTAAAAGAATAAAAAAACGCTTAAAGGGGCACTGACACCCCAAAGGTCGTATTTATTTTTATTGTCTAAAACGATGCAAGTTGCAGTCATAGACACGCAAAAAAAACCGCATCGCGAAAAAAAATTTTCCCGCGCGCGCGCGCGCCTTTTTATTTTTGGCGTTTGATTTTCCCGCGTCTCGCCTCCTCGCTTCTTTTGATCGGTGACGTCAAAAATCAGGAAATTAAGAAGCTTTGTAGGCGACATCTCTATAACATATAATTACGGCAATCGTAAAACATGTTTTTTAACGCAATTGCGAACGCACTACGGCCCTTCTTTTTGAAATACCAAAAATCGGGAGTTCGTTGTGGTGCCGTCTCCTGGATTTGTATCCTCCAACGGAAAACAGGCGACACCGCTCAAAACCGGTCCGCCGCAACGCCGGGCGCTCGCTCCTTTCCTCCTCGCTTTGGGTCGCCATGGCAACAGCAGGGAGTGGTGACAGGAAAGGGGACTCTCAGGTCTCCGCGATTTTTGACGTCAAGGCACCCGCGCCGATCGCGCGGGAACTTCGAATTCGGCATTTGGAAATTGTTTTTTTACTTCACGAATACTGAATTCCCAAATCTCAAATTTTGAGGGTAATGTCCCGGCATCGTTTTCAATCGTTTCGGATAATAAAAAAAAATATGATTTTGATGTGTCAGTGCCCCTTTAAGCTTTGAGAAAACTCAAAACGAAATCCTTCATCTCCACTTGACAGCTATCACAACATTTTTCTTTGGTGAGTGAGTTTTTCTTAGTTAAACCGACCAAAAGGAAAACCAACATATATGCAAATGTTTCGTGGCTATCTTTAAAATAAATGATTTTTTTACAAAAATAATTATTTAGGTTGTAAAGGTTTAGAAAACTAGCTATTTACACCCAAATAAATTCGAAACTTCAGCAAAAAATGGCTTACTTTTGCTTTTTAGATTTCGCTTATATAAAAGAAAGCTTGCATAAAACTCATTCTGTCTCGATGTGCATACTCCGAGTCTAGGACTGAAGGAGCTCCTTCAAGTAATATCTAAAATAGAAAAGCTCGAGCCTGGGGACAGCCTCTGAGAGAAAGCCTTCATCCCGCTCGACAAGTATGATGACATCCTGCTTCGACGAGTACACGTAAAAGAAGCATTGGGTAGTGTTTGTCACATACATCGCAATTTGCACCTGCGTGTAGTATGTGTGGCGCTTCTTCAGCATCAGACGCCCCTCTTCATATACTATGTACTTGACAAAGCTTTCTTCCTTGCTCACATCGATAAGAACCTTGTTTTTCCTTGAATAGGGACACTTAATTTCCAGTAGTGTCGTCTCGTCGCTGGTCTTGAAGAATCCGTCGGGGCTGGCACACAGCCATGGCTGCCTCAAGTGCACTATCAAGCCAACCTGAGTTTATATTGGTTGTGACATTAGGGTGATCATGCACGCTCACACACACTTCTTCAATAGAACTGGATAGGCAACAATAAAAACAGAACCACAAGTTTGGGAGACAAGGGTTATAGAAAATTTAATAAGAAATTGTTCGCCAATAACACTTCTTCTCACTTTTGCATACAATTTCATTGAAGAAAACTGCTTGGGGAGCACCAAGTAACACTTGTGTCTGCCATGCAAAGGTTTGAATCCTACCATAACGAGCACCTCTCCATTCAAGATTTCTTTTGGCTATTAAAATTAGACGTAAAATCTATGGCTCAATGCTGCTCCAAAAGTGAAATAAACTTCACTATGCCTTGTTTCAGCTTAAGTCGGAGCACAGCAAACACTACAAGCCGATGTAGCCTGCAAAAGCACAGCCTCGCTGTATTCATCATTCCTCTGTGCGTGTTGCACCTTGCACTTCTTTCTGTGTTGGTACGGTATGTCACCTAGCCTTTGACTGCTCCAACTTAAGTGCCGTTCACACACTTGCAACCGATTTGTACCGAGATAGTCAAGAGAGATTTTTAAGCCTCTTGTGACAGCATAGGACCAGAGGCACTGCTACGGAGCAGGTCCTACGCCGACGCAAGACACCTAAAAACCGGTCTTGTCTCCCTCGGTCCTACTCGGTTGCAAGTGTGTGAAAGGCGCTTTATGGTGAAACAGAGCATAGTTGCACCTTTCACTCACCTGTGTAACGGACGCACCAACCTTCTTCTCAAATACTTCTCTGGCTTCAGCTTCTGTCTTTCGTCCTAATAAAGATAAGCAGGATAAGGATGCCACTTAAAATAAGCATGCCACCAAATGTGCACTCGGTGCATGTGAATACTGTTCAATCATCTTACCATACGTCACAGCCTTTCAGTGAATGGCTTTCGGTGAAGTAGCTTTTGGGCAAGGGTGTCGAATGGCCGCCTTCGAGCGACGACTCTGTGGGCGATGGAGCTCGACAGCCTGACTTCACGTTCGCTGAACCACCTGTATGTAAAGACCACATTGAAAATTTGATTACTATGTGCTGTACATATTCATTGCATAATACCAACTTCACAAAACAAAAGGTCATATATTTTTATCGAAAAATTAAAACGCACATGCCTTTTCGAGCCTGCCTGAAGCACTGTGTCCACAGCAATGCACTCGGCACCTTGCTGCGTGCACGCCACTTTGGAGGAGTATAGTTCCCTCTCAGCTGGCGTCATCTCCTCCTCCAGGTTACAACGGACAAGTCTCAATGCAATGGACGACTCGAAATTTACAGTCATTACGTGATAAACAGGCATGCAATTTTCCCACGTTATCATTTTTTGCAGGCGCGCAAGCTCTATCTGGTGAAATACCGCACTCAAGACATCTGAGATCACAGATTTCGCCTCTCTTTCAGTGGTGGTCATGGCACCAATCCGTGCCATGTCGTTGTGAGGGCACGCAATTTCTGGGAACCTGTTTAGGACATATGACGGTGGAACTTGATCAGGCCGTGCCCCACCAACAAACAGCTCCTTTTTACCTGCGAAGAGCAACTTGATTAGATATG